ATTATAGGGCTTTAAATTCATTATTACCAAAATGGAATAAGGGTATATTCGTAATTTTAAGTCTCAAGCTAATGTTAGTATATATATATTTTTTTTCCAGTAGGGTTAGCATAGATACCTAGATAGATTGCTGGCTGGAATATAGCAACACTGTAATTCCATGGATGATCAAAACTACAATGAAGAAGAAGCTTACTCAATTATAAATTGCAATTTGCCGAAAGATGCAATGGAGCTGATACTCGTAGGGCTTCCAGTCAAATCGCTGCTCCGGTTTAAGTGTGTAGCCAAATCATGGTATAATTACATTAGGAACCCTAATTTTATCAAAATGCACCGAAATCATCAAATCTATCGTATTCCTTCTGTCATTTACTCTTACCAGAAAAAGAATGTTAGCTGCTTCAGGCCTGATATATTTTTGCTACATCTTCATCCTGTTTTGCGCAACACTGAACAGTATAATTCCCCTATAAAACAGCAATTGTATTTACCTTTTGATGGGGTGAAATTCGAGTGTTGCTGCAATGGTTTCATTTGTTTTATGAAGAATATCTATAGCTCACCAAAAGTTATCCTCTGGAATCCCGCTAATCATAGATACAAATGCATTAGTATACCCTCTGAGTGCTCCAAATTTACTGATCTAAAACTCGGGTTTCATCAACAAAGCAATGAATATAAAATTTTGAAAGTCCCTTTTCAGATGTTGATGGATGATGAATCAACGAAAGTTGCTTGGGTTTATACCCTGAGTTCAGGTTCATGGAAAACCGTATCGTTCACTCTTCCTACCCTAACTGGTTCTTCGGAACCTCAGATTTTTGTGAATGGTTTTATGTATTGGCTGACTGGACGCGAGGTGGAATATGTTATCTGCTTTGATCTGATTAAGGATGAATTCAAACTTATAGATATTCCTGATGATCGTGGTTTTGATTGCCAACTTGTTCACAGAAAGCTTATGGTTTTGAGAGGATCACTAGCAATGATGGTCTCCGTTGAGGATTGTACTAAGAACACTGAGATATGGATGCTCGTGAATGAAAAGAGTTCATACTCTTGGACTAAGAAGTTCATTTTAGAACCTTTCTCCAAAAAAACAATGTTGTTGGGAATGTTGAACGATCATAAGCTTCTCTTCGTTGTTTTAAAAACTCTTCCTTATGGTCTCAGACAAGTCTACTCTTATGATCTGGTTACCGAAAAGATAGAATATTTTCATGTGCCGATGGAACAAGATATAGCATGGTTTGTGGGAGTGTATGGGTGCTATTTTGAGAGCTTGGAACTTGAAGATGGATCTGGCCGGAGATACTGAAATAAACAAGTTTGTGATTACTACTTTTGATAGAGTAATCGCGCTTTTATGTACTGGTTTGTTGTTTTTTTTCAATTGTTTTCCTTAATTACTTTGATCAACTTCCTGAAACTTTGATTGGTTTTACTGTGTGCATTTCTGTGGAAATGCCAGAATACCTTATGAATCTGCTATATTTGGAGAATTGTTTTAGAAATATTGTTGTGTTCATTTATTGATTGCAGTAGATATATTATGATGTTAAAAGTTTAAATCAGGTTTTCTATTTATTGGATTCACCAAATGTTAGTTCTGAATAGAATTGTTGGGCAATGATGTGATGTTCTTTGTCTTAAGAATGTGTCATGCCAAGGCTTGAAAGATAAACTTTATAGAGTGGTGGTCAGATCGATCATATTGTTGCGACCTGATTTCGAAAACTAAGGTTTTCGGAACCAATTTTCGCAACTTTTGGCAATTTTGTTAAGGTTTTGGAAAAATGAGTAATTTGGAAGTCGCCACTTAATTTTTAGGAAAAATTAAGAAAACCATTTAAAAAAGAAATTTTTTTTTTGAAAGAAAATATTTTTAATAAAAAAACCAGAGTCTTGGGTAAGGGTTCAAATTAATTCTCTAAGGAAGGGTTTAGGCATCTTAGAGAATCCGCTAACACACGGTTGACCGACGGATTTAAAAGTTTAGCTAATTTTATAAAAATAAAAAATTACTTATAAAAATACTTGTTTGAAACTTAGATAAAAAAATCTTTTGATGCTTGTAAAAATCTCAAAAAATAATCCTAACTTGAAACTTTTATCCATAGTTATGTTTTGAACCATACGATTAATTCAAACTCATCAATATGAATCAAGGGACCTTGTTTTACAACTATGAAAGGATATAGAAATTCCTCAAGTCATTCATACAAAGTCTTAAGTTATTATTTTTTTTTATTTTTTTTAAAAGAGAACTAATTTTAGTTTAAGAAAACTTAACAACTCTATCCTAGTCAAAATTTGAACTAAATAGCTAATTCAAAACTCACAAACATAGATTCAAAAGCTTTTCAATAACTATGAAAGAACATAAAAGGTTCTCAAGTCATTCTATAAAGCTTAAATTAGCTAACTTAAAATGAGTTTCGAAATTTGAAAACTTGAATAAACATATCACCCCAAGGATTCATCTAAATTGATCAAATAAATGTTAGAAATTAAGAGCAAGTATCACAAAATCACGATATAAGGGAAACAAAGGTGCAAATAGAATTTGGACAACTTTAAGTCCACTTGTTGCTTCTCACTTGCTGCTGCCCAGATTGGACTTTTTAAGTCCGAAAAGAGTCCAATTTTTAGCCCTTTGGGGCTGCTGTCATCCTGCCGATTTGTCGAGGTTTTAACTCAATTTTGTTCCTCGTTTTCGGCCATTTAAGACTGCTGTTGCTGCTACTTGTTGCCACTGATCCGTTGGTATTACTTGGGTTTCAACCCAATGATATTAACTTCCCCTTCAATTGGTTTAAAGGAGAGTCGACTCGGAGAGGAAAATGCAAGAGGAGGAGTCCAATTGGACTCAAACGAGATAGTTCATGCCAAGAAAATAGGGAAAAGATTAACAACAACATTAGGATGATATCAACTTAAGCTTAAAACTCTTAATGACATGCTATCTCTGCTGAAATTTTATTAAACAATCAATTATAATTATCTATCATTGTTTAGGAAAGCAAACTGACATTAGTATGAATTCAATTCAAAGCAACAGAGACTGCCATATTTAAACATGTTAAAAAAAACCTATCAATCAGTAACTCGGGGAAATAAGGTAAACAAAACTTAAATTTTGGAGCTTTCTGACTGAAATTTCAGTCAAAACATTCTAAAGGATCTCTAAAGCAACGCTTAAAGGTTTAAGACTTCTTGAAATCAAACTAACAACACCAGTTCATGATTCACTCATCAAAATAAAAGATTCTATGATAAATGCAATAGCTACTTAAACAGGATACTCAAGCTCAAATACAAAGCAAGCTCGACTTCATTGAGAGCGATTACAAATTTATAAATCAGTCCTACTATGAACTAGTAAGAGGATTTGAATCAGACAAAAGTCAATAAGGAGGCAAGAACATTCTAACAATCTTCATGATTATGAGAATTGGCTTGAAGAGTATACAAGAGACATTAATCCGTGCTTAAAGCATACAGACAAATGTGGGTAACCCAAACTAATTTAACGATAAGAAATATTGTCGAGCCATGATCAATACGCAGAGAGAATCAACAGCTAATCCTAACACATAAATAGACTCAAGCCTATTTAACATTCATCATTTGGACAGAAAGCATCTTAAGTTCATACCACCAACAAGGTTTCACCGTAAAACAACAAATCAGCAGTTACCTAACCTAGATGAGAAGAAAATCAAACTAAAACGCGCAATATGAAGCTGGAGCTTAAATGGATATAAAAAGAGAACTTAAGCAGCCCACGAGTTCAAGAGATTCAAGCTTACAAATGTAATAGTTCAAGAACAAGATTAGTTTTAAGCTAAATAAACAAAAACTAAAAATAGGATACACTGAGGAACCATCATTTTTTCTTTCAAAAAAAAGTGACAATTACTGAAACATACTCAAAACCATACTAAAACATGTTGTTAGCAAATTTAAGCTTGAACAAATATCAACTATAAAGAAACATGAGCAAGGGTACAGTATAATGCCCAAAAAAGAAAATATTAGAAAATAAATGAATATGTTGGACACAGTAGTTCTTAACAGAGAAATCAAACTAATAAGCTTAACATCTTAGATGCATAAACACAAAATTGGATGCTTATCATTAAAGGGGAAAATGTAAGGACTAGAACCAAGGTGAACATTAATCTTCACGACCAATTCAGACAGGCAACACGAATAGAACACCAAAGAAGTTAGGAAGATTTACGACTATAACAATAAAGCAGTAAGCACAGGAGAAACATTATTAGCTATTCAATTATCAAACCAAAGTCTAAACAAAGCCAAGAACACATAAATAGCAGACAAGCTGGGAATTAAACACAAACAAAGCTAAGAAAGAATGTACCTGGTTCTGGGCAGCGAACTGGAATGACGAGTGGTAAACAACGAGCGTCCACCACCAAAGGAGCTTTTCCGGAAAGCTTGGATGAAGACTTCAAGGACAAAACCTTATGAAAAAATTTAAACCTTAAAGCTTTGGACTATCTGAAAACCGATTTCTTTGTAAATCTTATATCTCTCTGTATATCAGTGAAGAACGACCCCCCATTTTCAGTGAAAATACAGGGATATTTATAAGGAAAAACTAGGGTTCGGAATTTTGCAAAAAAAAAAAAAAAAAAAAAACTGAAAAGTTGGATAAAAACAAGGCCCACCAATTTGAATTCCAACTCCAATTCCCTAAAAAAAAAGACTAGAATTCTCACAATTTCAACGGATTGAAATAGAGGTGGACGATCTCGATTCACTTGGGTGTCCTTGAACTCGACGTGGCGTCAATCCGCGCGAGCAAGGACAATTCTGCGGCTGGAAAAGGCTGGAACAGTACTAGGCGTACTGTTTGTCGAGGGAAAGGAAGAAGACGACGAGAATAAAGCTGTGTACCGCCTGTACGTGTAGGGCGTACTGTTCCGTCTATTTGACGCCGTTTGCTGCATATGTTCACGTCGTCTGGGATCACTGTGTATTGACGTTGTTGTTGCTTCTGGGTTTCTTCGCGTGAAGCTGAAACGTGATGGGGTCGGCTGGTACTGATGTATTGTTACTGTATGTAATCTGATGGGTATTGGGTGTGTTTTGGCATGAAAGGAATTGGGCTGGGTTGGGTATAATTGCTTTGGGCTCATCAAGTTAAGGCTCTAATTGGATATCAAAGGGAGCAGGTCCCTTGGTCTCTATATTTCATCAAATCGGCCTGTTTTAGTTCAAATTTGATAAAATGGAAATTAGATAAATTATGAATCTAATTAATTATTTAAACTTCTTCACTTCGACAACACAAAACAATTATTTCGAAGAGAAAAATCTTTATTAAATCGTGATCAGTCTTAAAGGAAATACGATACATACTTAATTAACTCTTTTTTTGGTAAAACGTTTTACTAACTATTTATTCAAATTGAAAAAATTATATAAATCTATATATTTAAGTATATAGAGATATATTTTATAGTAAAAATGGAAAATTGCCTTGAAAATGATTTCAAAAGTAAGTTTGATTTTATTTATTTTTTTTCAAAATAATTACTTCAATTTGTTCAAAATTTAATAAGCTTGAAAATTAATTAAATTGTGGAGGGCCAAAATTGGGTGTCAACACATATGTTGGCCAGTTAAGAATTCACAAGCCCAATAGATGAAGAGGTAGCGGAAATGAGGATGTCTAGATGGATGTATGAACATAATAGGAGAGGAAATATTAAGAATTTTTTTGGGATAAGGTGGGAGTGACTTCTTGGCACAAGATGCGGAAAGTGGGATTAAAATGATCCACACATATTGTGAATAGGAGGAACGGAGACAACCTAGTGAGGAGGTGCGAGAAGTTGACAATAATAGCCTAATAAAAGGTAGAGATAGATCAAGGAAGAATCAGGAAAATGTGATTAGATAAGACAACACCTTCAGCGCACCAAGGACATAAGAGAGTATGAAGATTGAGATTAGGATAGAAGATTAGTAGAAAGTCAGAGAGATTTCTTTCTTTGATAGGCGGGAAGTGATTTTATTTTAGAGCATTTTATGTGCTCTCTCTTCTCCTTACCATTGTCATTGTATTTTTTGTTCATTACCTTATTCTTCAATTGTATTACTATTGTTCTTTTTATGTTTGTTATTCTTACTATTTTTACTATCAAATTTTTTTTCTTTGAAAGTTGTCTCATCTTTTTTATTTAATATATTTTTACTATTGTATTTGCTGGTGCTGTTGTGGAAGTATCCTGAGCATTTTGTGATCAATACACGATCCAAGGGATGAGTGACTTCGGAGTTCGTTTGTCTTGTCTCACTATTTTCGTGAGAACTTGTTGACACTTTTTAGCTGTGTAGCTTAGCTTTAGTTGAGCCTCAAGCCACTGGGGTCAAACATGGGCATTTACTTGGTGGACAAAATTACTTGCTAGTTTTGCTGGTGTGTAACAGCTGATAACTCTGATAAAATAGTTGAGATGTGTGCAAGTTAAGTTGAACACTACTCTATTACTGCATAACCATTTCTCATACTTTCTAGAAACAATCAAAACGATCAAAAGAAATAGAAGGAATCATCTTTTTAATATCTGCACCTCGTGTAGGAATTTAATATCACGGAATTTATGAAATAATATTTAAAACTTATCAATCATTAAAACTAAAACGACCATTAATAATTTTATAATTTATCTTTTTGCTTTTAGGAAGTGTTACTATTTGATATTTTTAGGGAATCAAATGAACATCAACCTCATATATTAAATTTTCTAATAAATAATAATCATTGGTGAAGGATAAATAAATTTTAAAGGCTGAAAAAAGTGAGCAAATATTCTAATTTTAACGTGTAGAAAGTTCAGTCATACTTTTTGCTTTACATATATCATTTTAAATTAAAGATCCCCGTTTAAATGTATCATAAGAAATAATTAAAATGGAAGATTAAAGGAAGAAGATATCATTTTGGACAACAATTCAACTTATCATATATTCTTGAAAGAGAAAAATATTACACAAAACTATTCAGTTTGTTTGGGTGCTTTTTAAAAATCATCATACTAGAGAGATGAAGTTTAATTTGAAACTACACTTCTATTCCAATCGCAGTGTCGAGGAGCAAATTTATTACTTTCAAAAAAAAATATTAACAACTTGCAGTAAACTTGAGAATCTATCCATACTTCATATTGATATGAACAATTAATTTATTGTCTAGTTACCTATGTAACTTTGCGATTAAAAGAGGCTTCAATCTTGTCACTCCCCTAGCCTACACCTCGGACGTTGCTGGCACTCGAGAATCATTGTTGGCCCCAAGCGAACTCTTGGCCTGACTTACTTACTCAGTGGAAGACTTAAACATAAGAAATAGTCTCAAATAAGGAACTTATGAAATAAACTTAAAATGTCTTTAAGGAAACATTCAAACTAGCCAAAATGGATACTCATGTCTCATAGCAAAACATCTGAAATACAAGAGACTAAAGAACTATAACTATCCGTCTATGAAGCCTCTAAACAATGAAGGATGTCGGGACAAGACCCCCGATCATACTAACAACTGAAATATTAGAAAGCAAAGTAAAAGGAGTCCTCTAGGAAAAGCAAATGGAGGACCTCAACAAACTGACTCTGAGTGCTCAACTGGATCAACGAGGCGCTGAATGTTGATCCTGGTTACCTGTGTCTGCATCATAAGATGATT